TTATATAAGAAATTGTTAGTTTATGAAATATTTAAATGTTTGGTTTATGCAACCTAAAATTTACATAAACAAAATTATACTGAGATACCTCGACTTCAATATAATCATATATGCAATATGTAATATGGATTTTAAAAATATACAAAAGACTTTTAATTTACATAACAAATTTTATTTGAAATCTTTTTTTTATTTCTGAAATGCAAATTTTTTTGTTTTGAATCAATAATTAATTAAATTTAAAATATTTTTTTAATATTTTTTTTTTTAAATAACAGGTTTGAGTATCTAAAAACTCTCCGTATTCGTAATAAACAAAAAATTTAAGTTAGAAATAATAAACCAAATTTCTTTATGCAATAGCGTTGACTGACAACTGAAATATTGTTAAAAAAATTTTTAATTAATTATAAATAAATAAGAATAAAAACAAAAGAAGAAACTTGTTCTGAAAAGCACTCTACAAAGAGCATTTAAGTTTTAAGATTGGCGCTTGTTATACTACAGAATATATACTCTATCTGCAAAACAAAATAATGTCGTTTTTGTGTTAGTTGCTCTCATAAAAAGATTATCACTTTTTTTAATAATAGTATAATGTAATTTAAGATTGTTAACGGGTTTCATTACAGGTCATTATGGTCTGAAATATCAGCTTTATAAACTACAATTATCTGCTAATTCGGAATGCAGATTATGCCTCGAAGATGAGGAAACCACAACGCATATTTTTTGTGACTGTCCAACTTTATTAACAAGCAGAAGAAACTTCTTTCATATGTAATTTCTGTCACCAGAACAGATTAAGAGCTCTTCTCTAGATTTAGTTCTGGACATTGTTCATAAAACTTTGAGTGGCTTTGTATAATCAATAGTAAAATTGGTACAATTGGACTCTACTGGCCGCAGTATCGGCTGTTGCGCGATTTTACGTTTAAACTTTTAATAATAATAATAATAGTATAAAAAAAATCAAGGTTCAAAAATTACAACAGGTGTATATATCAATAGATTAAAAATATTGATATAATATAATATATTACCTAATCAATAGATTAGGTCGTAATTAATACTTTTTGTGTTTGTTACTTAAACACTCTCAAGCTATTGTTGTCATAAATGTGAATAGCAAATGAATTAGTTTCGAATAAGTGAATGTTTGCAAGTAAAAGAGAGAGTGAAAAAAAAATCTAAACGCAAGTCATATGAACACAAACAAGTCAATAAACTAGCCAATGCAAGCTGAGAGGCTTGCTGAAGATTTCTAAATCTTATCAACAAAATCCATTAACAATAAAACTGTAATTATAGATTTCTTTATATGCAAGTATATATGCGTTATCTCTCATATATATTTATATATATATAAATATTGCCTGATGCTAATTGAAAGTTCTTAATATAGTACAAGTATTTTATGCAACATATTTTTAAAGATAATTGTATTGTTAATGAATAAATTATTATTATTATTTAATTTTTTTTTTTTTGTGTTGCAACTGCAAGGACTGCAAAGTAATATCTCAAATGTACTGGTAAAATGATCGTCTTGGAAATATATAAGTTTTTTGCTAAATTTAAACGTCACGGAAACATTGGACACAAATAAAATTTATGTCAAGTTGTAGTCTATAAAATTTAAACATTTTGGTTAATCAGCACTAAATTAAAATTATAGCTTAATTTCTCACAATTTAGCAAAAAATAAAAGATACAAAAAAACAATGTTTTGAGAAAAATTTATTTAATTTATAGTTGTGAGTGCCTTTCTATGTCTTCGACATAAAAAAGAAAAATTTATATGCTACTTAAAAAATAAAACCATTAAAATATTAATAATAGTGTTAGTTATTTAATTTATTAATTTATTAATTAGTTAATGTAGCTACTTAAAAAAATAAATTTTGATTGTACTCAGCCTCTATTTTTAGTGGAAGACTAGTTATTGTTTCGGTTGTTTCGGTTGTTTGGAGACATGCTAAATGCAAATTGACACACTTTTGAGTTTTAGTGATTTAACTCAGAACCGCGCCTTAAACACTTTTAGCCAACATTAAGAGTTAATTTTCTTTTAAAGAAAAAAAAAAGCAGCAAAAGATACGCAAATTTAAGGGCTAAAATATAATTAATGATGTATGTTTTTCCATTCGAATGTATCTACTATACTCATATGTTTAAATCTACTAACTCAGCACGACACTCGCATTTCAATATTTAACATTACAAGTTTCAGATATTTTTTTTTATTATTTAATGCCAGAATTACTACGACATACACTCGTCTAGTAAAACTATGACAATATCCAAATAATACGGTTATACGGTCAAGACAGGTGTTATTTTCATTTCGAGGTACTCGAAATATTGAATTCAAAATTTCAATTTCATACGCTTTACATTACAAATAAATTTTGAAAAATATTTAAAAAAAAAATTACTTGAAATACACCTACTTTTGTTTTGAAAACACACAATCTTTTTACACAACACTTTTTTGAATTGATATTTTCTATGTCGATATTTTATTTGTATTTTTAATTTTAAAATTATTTTTATTTACTGAAAACGAACCGTTCACGATTGCGTTCAAATCGAAACTGAATTTGACTTGCTTAATTTGTTCGCGAGCAAACACAATTCAATGCATCTACAAGATACTTTTGCTCGGCCAGCTCTTTTCGCTGTACAGTCAAGACAGACACACAACAATTAAAGATACGATTTTCTTTTGAATTTTTCTTTTTACAATAAACAGGCATTTTCACACGCGGTTGTCTAGGCAGAGTAATTATTTACCTCAAAAAGAGTTGTCCGTAGACCTCACTGTATCTCTTTGACTCTCACTCTCTTAACAACAACATTAAAGAAAATCATTCAAAATATCAACAAACTTGCACGAAAACTTTTGTAAGATAGTGTAGTGTAACTACCTTCTGCTCAAAAAGTAACCGTATTTTGTTGTTTGTTAACTACTTCTTAAGTAATAGACCTTTTTCAAAAAATTTTTTGTTATGTTGTTACACCCTTTCTTACCATAGGTCGGTAAAAATTTGGGCGCCATCTGTCAATTAGTTTGTTTACAGCAGCTGTTAATGTGAGACTACCTCAAGTGCATTTAACGATTTTTACTATGGAAAATTCTTGTTGTACGCGATTTTTTGACCAAACACGGCACCACTGTCATCGCTCAGGCACCATATTCGCCAGATCTGGATCCGTGCGAGTTTTTCCTGTTCCCGAAACTCAAATTGCCCCTTCGTGGTAAGCGTTTTGAGTCGATTGAATCGGTAAAAGAGAATTCGCTGAAGGAACTTAAAGCCATACCTGCACGGGCCTACGAAAAATGTATGGAAGATTGGGTTAAGCGTTGGCATATGTGTATCGCTTCAGAAGGAGCATATTTTGAAGGAGATAAAATAAATTTAGAATAAAATTTAAATTTGTATGTTTTATATACAAAATCCGAATACTTTTTGAGCAGAAGTATAGTCAAGTGAAAAATTAAACAGTAATTTGTGTTTTTATTAAAATTAAATAAAAAGGTTTTTGAAAAATAGTGAACTACAACAACAACAAAAATATTTTTTTATATTATTTTTAATTAATTGAACTTTTTACTGGCCATATAGCTGTTTCGAGTATTGTCAAATACCTATCATCAGTGGTCTTGAAAATAATTATTGTATTTAATTATTTATAAATAATTTTTTTGAGACTGCAAGTACCAGGAATCGAACTCGTGCCCTGCCAAATTTGAAGCTCAGAGTGAAAATTTTAATAAATTCACTTTATAATAGAACGAAATCATAAACCAACTCGTAGAGGATAAAAAATCTACGAAGAACTTTTTACGAAGAAATTTTAGATTGCGGTGTATATCGCTGTTCCTCATGTACGATGGCGTTTTAAAAATGTTCCGTCGAACCTCGTTCTGGAAACGTTGGATTATTTCAACGTTACTCTTCCATACTTCAGCACCATACAACCATAAAATTTGAGTGATCAAATTGAGGGAGCACTAACCGCTCTTGTTGTACAAGACATGAGAAGACGGGCACGCAACAGTGGAGCCTGGAGAGACATACTGCGTTAGTCCGGAACTCGGTAACGGGATGTTATGAACAAATAATTCAGAATTTCGAATGAGTCTTCTAACAAAGAAGTAACATTAGAAAAAAAATCAAAAATTTGGTTTAGAAAAAGGAACTTCCCATAACACCAAAATGGATTCATATTAAAAACAAAAATTCGACTTATAGAATGCACTTTCCCATATTCCTATAGGCACGCGACAATATTTTTATTCAAGTTATAGAGAAATTCGAGTTAAAGAAGTTTGACTGTAGTTTGATTTTCATGGCTCTGCTTGTCATTCCTGCAAATGTTGCTATTACGTAGGAAACTTGGCAAAAATTTCGCATTTCAACGCACCAAGTCAACAGCCAGGAACCATGTTCAAAACTACCAGCTTCAAAACTACTTTCATTCAATGCCATTGTTGATAGAAATAAAACTTGTAAAGGCCGTGTGCCAGCTCAAGTAAATTGAGGGAAATAGTAAATTATGTCGGTATGGCAGCGAATGTTAGTATTTACCACAATTTCGAGTAGGGTAAGTTAGATAAAAATTAGATAAATTAGGTATCACCATTGTGTAAATTTTATAAGATGTTTAATAAATAAATTAATAAATTTGAAAACTTTTAACCAAAAATAATAAATAAATGCAAAAAATAAATAAATAAATATTTATTTAAGTGGAGTGCAAAAAATCCCTAGGAAATTTCAATTTACTTTACCGCAATTTACTCGAACTCGCACACGGCCTAAATTAACAAATTACAAACACAATAATGCATTTCAAAGTCTAATTTTGTTTTGTATTTGTTAGTCAAGACAAGAACCTTCTACAGTTATTGTGAATGACATTATATTACGTTTTTTGTTTTTATAAACAAAATTAATAAAATGTAAACACAACAGCTGATTTTTAAAATCGACAGTAGATTTGAAAACAATTTTCCTTATTGTAATAAAATAATTATTACACGCTAATAAAAAATAAATGTAAATAATAAATAAATAAGATATATTATTTATATATTTCAATATATTTCTTTATTTATTGTAAAGTTATTCTCATATAATTTCAGATACAACGGCGGTAATCGGTGAGTTATAGTAATTTATATTTTAAATAAAAATTAATTTATTTAATTTTAGATTTCAATATAAATTAGAATGCGAATGAACATCTTTTGTGTTTAACTATATATTAAATGTGATGTGTTGAGTAAAGTGGTTTTAAAACATAGTAACGTAGAGCGGGCCAGCGAATTCCGTCCCTATAGCCGTCCTCATAGCCAGAACGACAAATTGAAACTATAAAAAAACTATATAAAACTCAGTTTTCATAAATAAAAACTGTTAGCAAATAATATTAAATACACTAATTGAAATATTTATGCCATTAATTTTTTATACGTCATAACAACAAGTGGTCGTGTTTACAGAAGGAAAATGAATCGTTTTCTAAAAGTATTTAATAAAGGAAAATGTCATATCATTGGAATGATACACGTTGATGCCTTGCCTGGTAAAAGCAAAATATTAAATTTAAATTATTAAATAAATAATAAAGTTATACATTTTAAGGTACCCCTAAGTACGCCGGCAATTGGAATAAAATTCTCGAAAAAACACAATATGAAGCAAACGTTTATAATAAATATAAATTGGTATTAACAGAATATATTTTGTTGAATATATAACAAAATTTTAAATTTAGAAATATTTAATCCTAATAGGATGCTGTTTTAATTGAAAATATGCACGATGTGCCCTACGTGCAAGCGACGCACTTCACACCGGAAACAGTGGCCTGCATGACACATATTGGCAGCGCAGTGAAACAAGTTTTGTCAAGTAGCACTCCACTGGGTATGCAGATTCTCGCATGTGGCAATAGAGAAGCTTTAGCAGTAGCCAAAGCAATAGGTCTACAATTTATACGAGCTGAGGGTTTTGTATTTGGTCATGTTGCAGATGAAGGTTACACAGATGCATGTGCAGGGCAATTACTACGCTATCGTCGTCAAATTGATGCTGACAATGTGCTTATATTAACCGATTTGAAAAAGAAGCATAGCGCACATGCCATAACGCAAGACGTTAGCCTTTTAGAAACTGCGAAGGCAGCGGAATTTTTCTTAACCGATGGTGTCATCATAACAGGTATGTGCAAATATAATACTAATATTTCATTCAATACTTAAAAATTAAGTTTTAATTAAAGGAAACTCTACTGGTCACGCAGCTAGTCCGGAGGATTTAAACAATTTAACAGGTAAAATAAAATCTCCAATATTGATTGGTTCCGGTGTGACTACCGACAATTTCCATGAATACTACAATAAGGCTCAGGGTGTCATCATAGGTTCACACTTTAAAATTAATGGCCAGTGGGAGAATGATTTATGCGAAAAGACAATCGATAAATTCATGCAGAGATCAGCAGCACTTAATGAAACAAATGCTGCTATTAGTATAAGTAAAAAGGCAAAAAACATTAACTAAAATAAAATTATAAAAAATAAAATACAAAAGGATTTTTTAATAGTAGTAATCAATATATGTATTATTTACTTAAACATCTCATAACAGTAGAAAAATGGTAATGTCAAATAAGAGATTCTTTCATGAGATATGAATTAAAAAATAAATTGTGAAAATATTAAAAAATAATATCAGAATTGTAAAAACACAACAAAAACTAAAACAGTTTTGCAAAAAAATTGTAAATCTTCTCTGGCAACGATTGCTGGGAATTAGTGCAACTCGAACTGGTAAAACTGTATGCCTTCGGTTTCGATGGAGTATTCGCCTCGGAATCATCAAACTTAACACGTTTCTTCTGTGGTGGAGTACTAAAGTTTTCGTTCTGTATGAGATGTTCCGGCATACTCCAATTAGCAGAGTGTGCACTTTTATTACTGCCACCACTTGAACGTAATGGATACAACACATCACGAAAGTTACCATTACCAAATACATCTTCACGATTTATTGCTCTTGGTATTGTATTGTCAACGTTATGTGCACGAAAATATGACTTTGAATTTGAATAACGACTAGCGAATCCATAAGTAGGATCATGTTCTGTATTTGGAGTCATATCTGTGGCATTCGTTGTATGTGTGCGCTTTAATATACCACGAATGGGATTTTTCTCTGTAGCGATGTATTTGTATAATTTGGAAATACGATTTTCAGTTGGGTTCTTTGAAGTACGTTGAGAATCACTGCGCATTTCCACAGTTTGTGTATCTGGCATTGAAGATTCTGTGAATGCGACACATTTTGTGTTGGTGTTGTTTTTGACTTTGTCAGTGGCGCCAATTGATTTCTTTGCACGTGGAAAGCAAGTACTTGAAATTTTACTATCGCTGTCATCATCAGAATCAGAATTGCGATTTTTATTGCGATAAATTGAATCATAATCCTGAAATTAAAATGTGTAAAATTAAAATCATTTTCTAAATGAAAAGTAACCATAAACGAATCATCACCAGTTTGTTTCATTCTTAGAAATAGTCATTTAATCACTTAATTTTTTAGAGTATATTCAGACTTGAGTCTCTTGTGAATCTAACGAATAACTAATGCTATTGTTAGCATATTATTAGAATTGTACTGTAAGTAGATTTATAAGGAAACTGACACCTAAGTAAACTAGCATCTAAGGAAACTGACACGGATGGAAATTCACATCTAACGAAACTGACACCTAAGGAAATTGTCATCTAAGTGACATTTAAAGAAAGTGACGTCCAAAGAAGCTAACATCTAAGAAAACTAATTATTCAACTTTCTACCAATATAAACCAAAAGTATTGCTTCGTTTGCTTATTTATTAAGACCAATGAACTAGTTTCTTCCCAACATTTTCTTTTTAGAATAATACATAATAGCTATTTAATAATATAAAAATTATTTATAAATTTTTTAAACTCCACAAATTATCCGAAAGCCTCTTCCAAAGTAAATACCTGGCTACGGTCCTCACTCTATTACTTGGCTATTTATTATTTTTTTATATGAAATATTCTTATTGGGGATGATGATTCGTTTTTGGTTTTAATAAAGTTAAATAATGAATCAGTTTAGTATATGCAAAAAATACTGTTTGATCACCAAAGTTATATATACAAAATTCAACAGATACTTACGCACTTCTTTTTATTTGGACTCAACACATAATCCATATCAAATTTTTTCATATCCTTTTTCCTAAAACATATACAAGTATTTATTTATTTAAAATTATTATTATATTTTATATACCAACCTTATGGGTGTTCTCTTGCTAGACTCTTTTCGTAGTGTTTTCCTGCATTCCACATGTAAATCTATGGCATCTCTTAGAAAACCAACCCAAGTGCGTCCTAGTTGTAAATCTGTAGTACCAAAAATAATGCCATCTCCTTGGCAAGTAACCTTGAAGTTGCCTGGGAATAGTTCGTAGACTTTACACTTTTTTAGCGGGAAAATGCAACAACACTCAAGTGAGTTTTCGACCACAGTATTAGGAGCACGCTCTTTAAGTATTTTGCAGTACATAAAAATATCTGACATGAGAACACAATAACGTTTCACATCAGTGCCATTCCTTGTCACCTTCTGCAAAATGCCTTCCTTAATAACTTTGCGTGATGGTTTCACAATGTTAGGAGAACGATTAAGCAAAGAATTTTGTAAATTAATGAGCATTTGGGTGATTTCCTGATCTTCAACGCAGGAGTTTATGTGCAAAACAGTCATTTCAATCTGTTTAACAGATTCTACAAAAAAAAATATATGGAATATTAATATAATATCACATTATATTATAGAAACTACTACCTTTTAATAGTTTGTAATCTTCATCAGCAGGACTAGTGTATAATAGAACTTGCTCCAGTAGTAGTTTATAACGTGGTACACGTTGTATAGGTGTTATCATAAAGGAGTTCAACTTTCGTTGTACTTCGGGACGACTTTCAGTGTCTTCCAGAAATTTACGAAAGGCCGCATTTTTACTTAGTAAACTCTGCGATACCAGCAAAGCTTTGCGATAATCAAATGCATACACTGAATATAACTTAAAAAATGGTGCCATTTTAAGAAAGGCATGAGCTACATTCTTAACATCATTTTCCAGTTGGCTCAGTAACTCACCATTTAAACTGTGTATCATTTCGATATGACTAAACAGTATTGAGTGGCTGGAAGCATCAATAATACTTTGCAGAGGACGTACGAAATACTGTATAAGTGTTTCCAATTGGTTCAAGTATGTTTTTTCCGAAGTGATGATTTCCTGTATTGCTTGCATACGAAAATTCTTTCGTTTATCAGCTTCACCGCCAATGGGAGTACCATAGGTGCTGGAAGCGCTGCTATTATTCAGCATAGCACAAACTATTTATAGAAAAGAGTTTTGGAATAATAAGGTATTATAATAATATGTAATCTGTTAAACTTACCCTTATTACGTGATTTTGCTGTTAGCAAATTGCGTTCCTGCAACGCTTGCCGCAATTCTTTGCTAAAGCTAATTGACGGTTGAGGCGTGCGTGGAGTGTGGTAAACCATTTCGTTAATAGTGCTATTAGCATTACGTTTTATTGGTGGAGTGTGCATTTTTAAAAGCGTTAAAACTGCAAATTATATAAATATACACAAAACTAAATTTTAAAACAAACAAAAGAACGCATCTGTGGCGTCCCCTATCACCTGCTAACAAACAAATTTGAACAGACGTTGACTTAATAAGGCGTTGCCAAGTACTTTTATTTTGAAGATATGTTCAATAGGTAAAATTAACAGCTGGCGGTGTTTATTATTGTTGGCAACGCAAAAATATGACAACAGTGCAAAATAGAAAAACTTCACTCAAATACAATATATTTTAAATTAAATTCTAAATTACGTTTATATTATTTAGAAAAATGAAAAGTATATTAAATAGTTATGAGCAAAGAATAGTTGATCGTATCGACAATGAAATTGGAAGTGAATTCAATAAAATACATCGTGCTTCTTTGCTGATAGAAGAATACAAGCAACGCTCTGAGTGTTTACAAAACAAAATAAAAGTAATTTTTAAACTAATGCCAATACTTCTAATTTATATTAATTGCTTTCAATATGTACTTATTTTATTTTAATAGAAAAATTTTAAAATTGAGGAAAATGATACATTATTTCCTACTACATCACAACAAGAGGAGAGTGCGAGCACTACGGTAGATGATCACATTAAAAAGCTTGACGATGTCGGCGATATCATTAAAAGTAAAATTGAGAAAATAACTGAAGTCATGAATGGAGTACAATACGAGGTTGAACAGGTACAAAAATTAAAGACTTTGGTGCGGTATCTTAAAGTGTTACAACACATACAAGAAATCAGGTATATATAAAAAGCATACTATTAAATTATGAGCATTAAAATATTAAGAAAACTTTATGTTTTAGCCAAGATTTAACAAATGCTGTAAACGGACGCGATGAAGGAAAAATGGTAAACTTATATTTGACACTATACGAAGAAAACGACCGTGAAAATAGTGTTCTCGGAAGGTTGTGGAATGTAGACGCACCGGTGTTGAAATCGTATGCTATAAGCACTGCATCCAAATGGCATTCCTTACTTAAAACAAAGTTTTCGAGGTTGTCAGAATATATGCAAAACAATGAATAAAAGAATTAATAAATATTATTTCTTTTTTAGTGAATTTACAGCAATACTAAAAGCGATGCGTTGGGGTCAAATAGAGCACGATTCATTAACTTACTCTCCTTCGAAAGACAACACTGCCAAAGCACAATTATTAGCCGAATATCTCCTTTTGGTTTGTTTTAAGTTCAACTTAATTTATTTAGATTACAATCAATCTATAATTTTTTAGATAAAATCTCCAAGCGATGAAACTGAACTCTTGCAAGTTATAACACCTAGTATTATGTGTCCACCATTAACCACAGTGACCAAGTTACTGCTAGCGCCATATAGGCAAAGGTAGTAAATCTTTAGATATTATAATAATTATTTCAATAAGTTTATTTTATCTAGATTTACTTATCATTTTACTGGTACACGTCAAACAAATCGTTTGGATAAACCTGAATGGTTTTTTACACAAATACTCAACTGGGGAAAGATAGCACATCTTTTTGTAGGTAAAACATTCCAACAGGCAGCAGTAAATGCTGGAAAAGTAGATTTAAATATACGTGTAAGTGTTGATCTCTTTATGTTATACAGACTAAGATAGAAGACATTTTTCTAATTTTCAGCTCGAGTTCATACGTGGCCTTATACAATTAACTATTGAAAAACTTGCTGCTGACATTGAAGAAATCAGCGCAGATGAGAATCTTTTTGCGCATTTAATCGATGAGACATTAGCTTTCGAATCTGAAATGCGTTTAGCTTTTGGTTATCCTGCAAGCTTTCCCAGTTCAATTTCTGTTTTAACGCAACCAGTCTATTTATTAAAATGGATAACACTGGAAGAACAATGTATATAACAACATAATTTATAAAATTATATATTTTTTAAATAATATTTCTTAAAGTTTGCGCGGAAAAAATGGATTTAATACTGCAGAGTGAACACCCTTGGTTGTTCATTGATCCCAACATATTTGATGATGAATTAAAAATACCAAGATGTGCTGATCAATTTATGCGCTTATTAGAAGCTATAAAAGATCGATATTGCGCGCTTCTACAACCTGGTCATCAATTACAGTTCCTTAATTTGCAACTTAAATTAATCGATAGTTTTCGCAGACGCCTGGTGCAGTTGCATAGTAATGGTGTGGTTGACACTACACCAATTTTAAATGCCATCAACTATATTACAATGGTGCTTCAGGAATGGGGTGAAAATGTGCATTATTTACATTTAAATACTGCCTTATTTGGACCAAATGCAAACGATATCATTTCCGTGTTTGAAGATCCTATCAGCGAATTAAAACATTGGACTGAGCAATTAATTAAGAATTTAAGTACAAAATTAGTTAATGAAATAAAAGCTAAATCTATGTCATATCGAAGGGATAACTGGGCAACTATGCAGGAACATAATTCAAAAGAACCATTTATACTGTCTGCGAGTGCTGGAGAAATGTTTCAAGTAAATATAATAACATTCCTCACAAATATAGTTTTAATATTGCAAAATAATAATCTTATCTTTTGTCATTTAGGTAATGGTTACAATTTTACATAATCTTGAACGAGAACTATCGAGCAATCTATTCACCATTACTTTAAGGCTCATAGCTAAACAAATTGATGATTACATTATGGATTATATGATAATGAATACTAAATTTAATCCTCCCGGTGCAGCGCAGTTTAATTACGACATGACACGTAATTTGTTTGCTTTATTTGGACAATACAGCCGTAGACCGGATTTACTCTTTAAAAAGTACAAAATATAAAATAATTGAAATTGTTTATTATTTATTGCTTATTTTTAATTTTCAGAATTCATGACGCAAATAAACTACTCAATGTTTCATGTGGTGTTGCTTTGCTTTTGCATGAGACTCTTCGGAACGCCACAACTCCTGAAGAGAAATCTAAAGCTTTAAAAGAAGTGGGAATTATTAATATTACAAGTCAGACATGCATGGAAGTCTTAGAAAGACGAACTGACATAAGAATTTGTTAAACGCACAAACAGCTTAAATGAACAGCTTAAATTTTTTTAAAAGCTTTTTTTTACATATATGGGAAGTTTTTAATAACAGCAATTATTTCCAAAATTGTTATATATAATATATTTTTCATTTTATTTATTAAAAAAATTGTTTTAATCTGTATAAAAATATCTATATATAAATTAAATTTTGTATACTTTTTTATATATTTGTTATTTATGTTTTCTAAAATAATTTTGATAAAATTTTCATGGAATATTATTGGGCGGGAAAAAAATGTCCGCTACGTTTGAATCTGAGAGGTGAGGCTTGCTTGCAAAAATTAATTTGTTTACATACATTTGCAATAAAAGCAGTGTATATATTTAATTTTTTGTTTTATTTTTTTAAATAAAGTAATTATAACTAGGAGAAACAAAAATTTAATTCATAAAATTTAGTTTAATTTTTAATTTATTTAAAACAAAAAAGGATATTGTAAATCTGCACATTTTGTTATTAACAACATATAAAGGTTTATATACTTAATACTTAAAAGTTATTCATTGGTGGCATGTGAGAACGCAATAAAAGAGTTAAATATTAAACACAATTGTACTGAAAAGTTGTGGTATCACAACGGACTATTATTTGAATTTAAATGGGCTTTAATATAAGGCCCAGCTACTCCAACCTAACCAACTTTTATCGTGTTTAAGTATCGTATATCGTGTCATGTTGATTATAGTTGAAACAGTAATGTAATTATTTGTGATATGCATAAAATTTGTATTTATTATTTATTTGTATTATTATTGAAATTTCAAAGAGAATCGATGGAAACATGCTTTTCAAATAAAATAGTTAAAATTTAATTTAAATTATTATACAAAAAAAAAAGTAATTATACCATAAGTTTTACCATAAAATCTAGACATAATTATGAGTTTTGTTGATTTCATGATATGTTTATATACAAGGTGAGATGAAAAAACTGCAACAAAGTAAAACGCCATAATTTTTTCATTTTTTTTAAATTTTATTGAATGAAAGCAAAAAATGTCGGAAATAATATCAAATTTGAGAATCGGTTTAGATTTGTTCGAATTGGCCACCTTTGGCACGAACTATGGCCTTCAAACGGCCAATGACCCGAAAGTGGCTCTGCGGTATTTTGTCCCATTCTCGGCGAAGCGCTTGCTTGAGATGATCGACACTTTGGTATTTTTTAGTTCCAACCTTGCTTTCCAAAATACCCCAGGCACAATAGTCCAACGGATTGGCATCCGGAGATTTTGGTGGCCATTGTGCGGTGGAAATGAAGCGAGGAACCTCATTTCTTAACCATTCTTGGATGGCGCGTGCTGAGTGCGATGGTGCTGAGTCCTGTTGGAATGTCCAAGGTCTGCGGCCGAAATGTTTGCGTGCCCAGGGCTTCAGAACTCCCTCCAAAATATTTTCGCGATAGATTTGCGCATTTAATTTGACACCACGGTCGATGAATACGAGCGGCGAGCGACCATCGGCTGTTATGGCGGCCCACACCATCACCATGGCCGGCTTTTGAGTTGTGATGGCCAACCGAAGTTGCAAATTTTCAGCTGACCTCTCTGGCAAGTAAACACGATCATTTTGTTTGTTTACAAACTGCTGGATAACGAATGGTTTCTCATCGGAGAAAACCAAATTCGGCAGTTCACCACTTTCGGCCAAGCGAAACAACTCTTTAGCTTTTTCGAGTCTAACTTTTTTTTGCGCATCAGTAAGATCTTGCACTTTTTGGAACTTGAATGGCTTTAGTCCAAGCTCATTTTTCAATATTTGCCGAATGGCATATTGCGATATGTTCAGCTCACGAGCCATTTTTCGTCCACTGCGACGCGGATTTCGTTCAATTCGCTTTTTCACTTTTCGAACCATTTCTGCCGATGTTGCTGTTTTTTTTCGTCCACTTCCTTGACGTCGGGCTACGCTACCAGTATCATGGTAACGAGCGATGGTACGAGACACAAAACATTTATTCACTTCTAAATGCTGGAGGGCTCTAACGATAGCCACTTGTGGTTTTCCAGCCAAATGCAAAGCAATCACACTATCACGCTTGAATTCCATCACAAATAACTTTTTTTTTGAAAAATTCCCACCAAAATGCTTTTGTGCGCTTGTAAACAATATAATGAGCTGTCACTAGAATAAATCTGACAGCTGTGGGACGAGCGGTTTAGAAATGACAGCAGTCTGAAGTTGGTTGCAGTTTTTTCATCTCACCTTGTATAACATACTTTAATTAGCAATAATTTTGCATTTCAAATTAAGTATATTCACACTATGAAATTTATATTAGCTTATAATAAAAAAAAGAAAAAGCGAAAAGGAATAGAAAATAACAATAAAAATTCAGAATTAAGCAATAAATTTAATATAGCTACGCAATTAGAGTTTAAGAAATATATAATTAAACACGACTCCAGAAAACATATAATTTCATTTGAATTGAGCCTTTATAAAAATTGTTTGAATGATTTATTTTAGTTTTGATTCATCATTATAGTTCTCTTTTTTAATACTGAATTCTCTAAACAGAAGGTAATTTAAAATAATTGTTCTATTTTCACACTATCATTGGAATTATTTTTGTATGGAATATGACAATAATTACTAAATACACAACGAGCTTATTGTGTTAATTGTGACACTGTAAACGTATAATGAGAACATAATTTTTTAATGAAGTATTTTTAAAACTCTTAGAATAGTAAAACATTATATGTAATGGAATTGGATAAGCATCTATTAGTTTGTTTTAAAATAAAATTCTTAGCATCGTTATCAATTGTTTAATTATTTAAAAAACGATTAGAACGTCTTTTTAAAATTACGTTAACATTAAAGGTGTTATGCAAATTTAAATACTAATACTAAATTTATCAAATATCAAATTTTATCAAGTAGTATTTTTGCATTTCTATTGTTACTAAATTGGTATAAATTTAATAAATTTTATAATTTTATTTTAATAAAAATAATTTTGATATATTTGAAAATGCAACCATGTGTTACACAGCTGTCAAAAAAACTGCCAAAGTGTAATACATTTTTCGTGCTTCATCGTCTTTTATTTTATTTTGCAGTTGAATCAAAATAAGTCAAAAACTTAAGCGATTAGATAAAATGTTTTTGTGAATATTAATGTAGTAACTTATACCAAACACAAACGAAATTAATTTAAAGAGTGATACATACAACGTAATATAAATAAGTGATAAAAGTCGGTGAGTTGGATATAAAAAAATTAAAAATGATTTTTTAACATTTTAATGAAAATTATAATTTTTATGTACATTATTAGGTGGATCACCCTTAGCAACGCTATGTATTGTTTACAATGTCTGCTACCGGTGCTGCTAATACCAAAGCCAACTAATCCAGCTCTAGTGGAAACTCATGTTATGTTTATAGTGCTTTATTTAATAGGATTTTTCCTCGAGCGCAAACCGTGCACAATATGCAGTTTGGTCTTTTTGACGGCTGTATTCCTGATATGCTACAGCGGCGTAGGCAATTGCATATTTTGGGGTAATTGTGATGGACTGAAGTGTGAAAATGGCTAGAAAAAACTATACAAACTTGCAACCACACCCACAAACTAACAACAACAATTTTTTTTCGCGAAAGTAGTAACTATTGCAAAGCGCAAGTGACATCAACTGCAGTATAAATTTGTCAAAAATCTATTAATTAGTTAAGTTGGAAATAAAGAGGCTAATTTATTAATAGATTCAGCGGGCTGTTTACTAAATATTGCATATTGCTTGTGCGCATTTGTGTTATTAGTTGTGTATTTGTCTAGGTTATTTAAATTAATTTTAAGTCAAAACTTTTTTTTCTTTTATATTGCAAAAAAAAATTTTGAATTTTTTCAAATGTTCTAACATAATCAAAAATGTAATATTTACAATTCTTTGATAGAGTTTTGTATATATGGCACAAACAAAATAAATGTGCCGAGTGTGTTCATATTTATCAGTATGCAAACAAAGACATTATTGTATGTTCCAATTATTTAATATATTTTTATCACGATTAGCAAACAAATGATTTAATTTATTATTAATTAATTTAACATTGTTATTTTATACTATTTTTATTTTTTTTTTTACTTTAAACTATGATTGTGAAATTAAGCATACCGCCTCAAGACTTTATTAATCGACCTAATGAAAAGAAATATGGTATGTGTAGTACGCGTCATTCGTCCATCGTTTTCTATATTTTATTTATATAGTAGTTTCATTTAGTTTTTTTTTTACTTGTTAATGAATGCATCTAAGTACATGCGCGTATATATATATACTAAAATATAATTCTCAATTTTTTATTCTGCTAGTAAGCAGAATTTATTTACATTTTTATTATTTATTGATTTGTAAATAATTTAAAATATTTGCTATGGAATAATTCATTGTAGTTAAGTTAATTATTAAGAGTAAAACATATTCGAGTAATTAATTTGTAAATTACATTTTACAAATAAAAAATTATTATTTTATATAACATTGTTTCCATTTAAATATTGAATTCTTGTTTAACATAAATTTAAATATATATACATATCTAATTAAACTCGTAGATAACCAGAAAATCTAGTATTAGTGAGAATGCAATGTGTTTTATGTAAATAGCGCACATGCTTAATATGAAATAAATATTAAACTGCGATAGAAAGTATAAATTAAATTACAAGTCAGGTTATATGAACATATATAGTAAAAAGACATGCAGAGTATGAGTGCTGTAAGTTCTGTATTAAATGGTTAGGTTGAAGTAATTGCTTTCTGCCGAAATCACACTTGAGCTCAAAAGATAACTTAGTGAACTCGTTGAATTATCATTGTATTTATTGCTGAGTTTAATATTTGTTATTTAAAGACAAGAAACAAAGAATAATTAGATAAGAATACTTTGTCCTGATTAATGCTTCCTACGTGTAGAGTATAATTTATATCTATACTTTCGAAGAGTCAAAGAGCATTTTTAGCACTTTACTTAGAGATTTCAAGACAACGCACACTGTAGTTGTAGGTGGAAAACAGGAAAACAGGCTTGCTTGCTATCAAAAGTGATTTTCCAGTTTATTGATTGATTATGAACAGAAACAAAGAATTTATTTAGACCTATAAACTGAAGAGGGTGAATAAAGGTTGTGACAGTAATTTAGAAGTATTCATATATTAAAAGAAGTTAGTAAATTTTGAAAGTAATGCCTTAAGCTAAACAACTATTTAATAAAAATTTTTCAAAAGTCATTTGTTATATATAATAGCATAAAAGGATAATGCGAATGTTAGTATTGTTTTGAGCCAATGGTTGCTGAGGGCAAAAAAACTATTTTTCTCTAAATTTATTATATTCTTCATTGTTTGTTAATAACAGATTAAATATAAATGTGTGAGTAAGCTCAGGTAAATTTCAAAATCCTTAGAAATTAAATTCAAGGGCAAAATAAAGAAGAAAAAAATATGTTTGGTATTATTCAAAATTATCCGAAACATTATATGCCATTTTTGTTTTAAGATAATAATAAAATAATAAAATATTAAATGAATCTATATAAATGGAAAAACCATATTTACTGTAATACAGATTTTTTTCAGCTATATTTGATTAAAGTATTATTTAAATTATATTACTTCTTTATTATTTATTTATTGTTAGTTGTCAGTACCATCGAATTATTTTAAATTAATTTGAATTTTATATTAATATAAAGTTTTCTATTATTAATAACTTTAATTTAATTTAAGTTTTTTCTTTTATATATATATTTATACTTATATTTAGTTATTTACAAAGCAATATATATTTTTGCTTCACTGAGCGAAGAAAATGATAAGAAGAAAATAAAGTTTATTAAACATCCATATGAAACTTGAGGATCTCGAATGTGGTTGATATAAAGTCTGAAAATTTTAAAAAACTGGTTATAATTCATGAAATACCCTGCTAGGTGTTTCTTCCGCTTGTGCATCAGTACCGAGCACTCCTCAAGCACGTGGTATATAATCATTGCTTTTATTACCCTTTAACTTTAAACTACATATAACTTTTAACATTATATATTGGTTTGATGTGAAAACTTAAATATATAAAGAGCCTCTAAATCTAATCTATTCTATTTACTAATTCATTTTGTAAAGTAAATATTCTAGAAAAATATAATCCATAGTCCTTAATTGGGTGTATTGATTACTATCACTAAAAATTGAAGAAATATTTTATCACTACCAAATCTATATACAATGTAGTGGCTATTTGAAGATGTTGACTCCCGTAGAAAATCTTTATAGTAGATGCAGAATATACTGATTATATTGAAAGAGAAATATCATTAAAAAAGGATAACAATGATTCCTACCACTAGCGTATACATCAATGGGATACGTTTTTTATGTTCATACTCACACTAAAATATATATAATTATTACACTAGATTTATTACTAGATTATTACGCGCTACCAAGAGTCGTCCTCTTGGGTTTAAGGGTCTGTGCTACATAAGTAATTACACAAGATTTTATAAATTTTTTTTTAATTAAACTTTTTCATTTGAATTTTCTATTGTTTTTAAAAAGCCTTTCTAAAATAGGTCTGTGTGTCAGTCCCTGTTTCTTGCAATTATCAAAGTTCAAAAAAATAAAAAACATTTCATTTATAATTTATTTACAAATTTTGGAATTTTTATTTATTAAATATTTTATCCATTATAAGTATACACATATACATATATGCAATTTCTAATTTTAGTTAACAATACTCGTTAAATTATAAAAGATATACTACGAATCGTAAAAAGCCAAAAACAAATCTATTTGTGTTAGTGCCTCCAATTCAACTGTGATCCACACGAAAAGAAAATATATATTAAAAATTTATAAAGTTATAAATTGATTATTGTATTTGCATTTGCAGTTGCACAAACAGAATCCAGAATTTACATATTTTTGGCGGTAAGGAGCTGCTATAGTTTTAAATATAAAGTAAACAACAAATTAGAAGTAAAGTAGAAAAGGTATCAAGCAGCAACAATCACAGGCTCAAGAGCTTATACAGAACGTGGTTGTACAACTGTGGAAGAGAAAAATAGATGGGGAATATGTAATCCCAGTCAACAATTAACTGATAATGAATGCTGTACTTACAGTGTGGCCTCTCTTCAGGTGCGTTATTTTGTGTTTCCTGTGACATATCGGCTTGAGCTTGCATCATTGGCACTGGAATGCGCACGGGTTGTGCCAAACTACGTCCGTAAGCAGCGCGTCCATATTGCATCATTTGTGGTGGTTGATCGGGCATTGGTGGGATCATAGTGTCACGTGGTTGTTCAGGCAATGGTTGCAAAATGAGCCGTTGTGGGATTTGTTGTGGTTGGGGTTGTTGTGGTTGTGGTTGCTGTGGTTGTTGTGGTTGCTGTGGTGGCATTGAATCTTGCTCAGCAGAAGAAGATTGACCAGATGATTGTGTATCGGCAGAATCGTCCTCTTCAGAGCTGTTACTATTGCTATTTTCGGCAGAATCTGATGATTCTACAGCAGCCATACGACGTAATTCATCGGTGATACGTTCTTCAGCCATACGTTGAATGTTACGTAGATCGTCAGCGGTAATGCCAGCGCGTTGTAAAGCCAAGCCTAATGGTAAACGTTGAACCTAAATGGGAAAGCAAGTTGTAAAATGTATTCTAATTATTGTAGAAATTGAGAGATGAGTTAATTTACTTGAAATTGTGGTAATTCTTGGTTTTGTGCTGGAATTTGTACGGGTACATCATCGGCAACATGAATTTCTCTGAAGGGCAATTGTTGTACGTGTATGCGTACAGTTTGTGTTTGTGGTTCCATCATACGTTGTTGTTGTTGTGATTCTGGGTGTGGTGCTTGCATAATTTGTGGTGGCATTGGTGGACGCATTGGTAATTGTTGGAATGGTGGTAACATTTGGCGCATATGTGGTTGTGGTTGTTGTACTGGTGGCATCATGCGTTGTGGCATATGTGTCAATGGGAATTGTTGTGGAATTTGTCCAAATGGAATTGGTACACGTTGATAGGGTATGAAGACTGGACGTATGGGTTCAGCATCTTCTTCGGTATCTTCATCTTCTTCACGATTATTGCGGCTTGATTCGCGTGCTTCATTTTCTTTATTTTCATTGCCACCTTCGCAATAAATGGAAATACGTTCACCAGTGATACGTGCCTTCTTTGGATCGGTGGTCAAATTCATTCCGAATGGTAAAGAAACTGTCTTTGAGGGTGAATCAACAATCTCTTCAGCATGTTTGCGTTCAACAACACAATTCATGCGTGATCTGTAATTTTAAAATATATTATATAAATTTATTTTTAAATGAAATTTTGATTTTAAATAAAAAAGTTTAAATTTAATAATAAAAATTGTTTCTTTTTTTACATACTTCTTATTGTTTTGTAATAAAGCGGCTGCTAAGTCACTTAAGTCCAATTCGAGTGGTACTTTGCCAGGGAATTTTTGCATCTCCTCCGTTTCTTCAGTATCTGAGTAGTTGTTATCGGTTCTGTCATCATCAGTTGGGATAGGTGCATTTTTCTGCTTAATTTCAACCTTTTTGACTGGTTCGTTGCTGTCTAGATTTTGCAAATCAACTTCATCGGGAGATTCCTTGCCCAATAATGCTTCAGCTCGTGGAAGTTCCTGAAACGAAGACGGGATTATAAATTATTTTATGATTGCAAATTATAAATAATTGATTTGAATAATTGAAAATCGATAATAAATATATAAATTTAAATAATATGTAATTTTATACAGAATCTAATATGTGACACTGCAGTTGTCTCTGGTTAGTTCAGAACACTATTTAAAATTCTTTTAAATATCTAAAACTTGTAAGAAGTTTTTATTTAATGAAATCTCCTGATTGTGTCTATATGTTGAGTAGAAAAGTATCACTGGTAATTAACTAAACCATACATTGCCGTAAGTTTATAACGAAAATCAAAATATAAAATTTTACTGAATTACTATATACTAAATAAAAAGAATAATAAAATATATAATAGGAAAATAATACATATAAATCGAAAACTCTGGTAGTTATTGATCTCGTTTAAAAAGAGTTATGATCTTACTTCTCTTCAACTACACCATCATGGATATCGCGATCATGCGTGGAACTGATATTGTTGATATTGGAACTAACTCAGTGGTGTGTGTATGTTAAATCAGATCTTAAAATTATGCCTTTAATTGATATTGCTAAGCATTTAATGATCTATATGTAAAAGTTTAGCTTTCGCAATTATGCCATTGATTAATATTGCATAGTTCTCGGTGGTTTATGTCTTAATATCTATAATATTTGTAGACAAACAAATTCCATTATTTTGGAAACTTAATATCTAGAAAAAAAACTATTTCTATCGACAGGGCGAAGGACCTAGTACTCCAGTTCCTATATTTAGTGAACTTTAAAATTAAATTTAGTGTTAACTCACAAAGAAATAAATAAATCTATCGAGGAACGCACAATATCTATCATATTCGCACTGTTCCTGGAATCCAGATTTCTGGTACCAAAACATTATTCAGTTCTAATAAGAAAATTAAACAAATTGTGGACAAACAAATTCCATTATTTTGGAAGTATAATTAATTATTAATTAATTTGTTATTAATATTAAGTCATTTTAAATATTTCTGATATAATTTTTGTAATTGAATTGAACTGTTATTCAAGTCTTGCCTTACATTTGTTGTTCACTTTAAAAGGAAACAATCTAAAACAAAAAGACAACAATTAAGTCAACTTCTTCCTAAAAGGTGTCTAATAGGAAACACAGTTTAAAAATTAATTTCCAGCATTTAATAAAAGAAAATTACAGAAACTTTAATGGCGTTCATGCAATAACTGAAATAACAGGAAAACAATTTCTTTTAAATCTTTTTTCTTTGAGATATTATTCAACCATCGCAACGCCTTCTTATGTTTTCCAAGTAACACTTACTCCGCTTTAATGAAGTTTTGTGCCGCTTTTCAACTCTGATGGAAAAAATTGCTCAAATTTACGTTTCCTAGTGAAACATCTATGACTTACATATACGAGTATGCTACTCTCTTACTATTATGCAATATCTTTAACTAAATGCGTACACCTTAAGTAACGATGGGTACGAATACGTGAGTATATCCAGTAGACAATACAACCTAAATTTGTTAGTTTCGGTTATGGTGGCTTTACATCATATGCGGTAGCTTCAACTTCAACAAATCGCTGTTAACTTCCATCTCATATCCCAGCTGTGAGATTAACTCGAATGCAATAAAATTTTATATGTTGTACATATATCTTTTTTATCATTAATATAAAATAAAATAAATTAATTCCATTATTTATGTTTTTTAAATAACACAAATAAATTAAAGTCAGCCGAATTTGATTTAATAGGAAATGTGAAAGTTGGTTGATTTCAGTTAACAGTTTGGAAAGCAAAAAAAAATAAAATATTAAATAAAAAATATTATGCAACAATACTTAAAACAACTGTTTTAAGATACTCATATATAAAGATACATATATGTATATGAAGAGAATGGAGGCGTATGAAAACACTTATGAACAAGTATGATTAATATACGCTTCGAGGGAATAATTAAGCAATTAAGCAATTTATTACTTTTTATTTATTTTTGTTTGATTAAAAATGATATCTTATATACATATATATGTATTGTAAATTTCGCTGATTGGTTAATCGATTTTAAATTAATTTTTAAAAAACATTTTAGTTTTTTCATTATTATACATTAACAACTTAAATTAATTAATATATGTAGTAATAAAGAAACAACACTTAATGAAAAATGCTATTAATTTAGAGAAAAACTGTTAATATCAACGATTTCATAATAGAGACAGTATTTATTAAAAATTATATTTCTCAATTAAATAAAATTCATACTTTTTATATTTAATATTGTTATTAACAATATTATTAACTAATATTAAAAATAATAGAAGTAGTTATAGGGTGCATGCTCAGACCAATGTATCAACTCTACCTAACATATAACTCTATGCGCGCTGTAGTACAAAACTTTTTCCACTGAGCCATCGAGTTAGAAATTGGAAGATTATATTTATTATTATTATTATTAATATTATTGTTAAAGGATGTGGCACTACGACCGTCGGATCTATTGTGTTCCCTTCTGAGTTTAGAGTAAGTCTCCAAGCGCAATATTGCGTCAATAAAAAGTAGTATAGAACATACTTTATAGAGTTTTATTGCCTCTTCCGTAAGAATATACACTCCCAGGAGTCTATTCCGTATGTGCATTGACACAGGGCGTTCTAACAGCACTTGTGTGACTGACTCCTCATAAGACTATATTTAAAAATATTACCAAAATCTTGAGTTTACTAAAAATTAGGTAATGTAATTAATATTAAAAATAAAACAGTTCAGTTATATAGTTTTATAAGAAAAAATTATGTAAGCAGTCGTAAGATAGATTTAACTTATAAAAATGATATAACTGCTGATCTAGGTTTGTCAAAAACATTGTTTCATGGATATAATATTTAATGTTAAGCTAACATATTCAGATTAGAGAGGTTTCAAAAAATAGTGAACTACAATATATATTGCAAATATTTTTTTCTTGAATAAATGCTAATATATTCATTAATTTTTAAGTTATTAGAATCAAAATAATTTAATTTAATTTATTTATTTTGCTTATTAAATTTTAAAATTAATTAAATTTATATATGTATAAATATTTTTTATTTTTATATAATACATTATATTATTTTTTAAATTATTAAAATATTATGTATTATAATTTAGAATATTTTGATTATATGTATATATTATAAATATATGTATTTATTAATATGTAAATAATTTTTTGTATATATATTTATTTATATTATATATTTAATATATTTATTTATTTAAATTATTGCCAATATTTTTATTTGAATATTATTTCAATTTTTTTCTTATTAATATACTATATTAATTACTTTCAGTTTATTTTTATATGTATATTCACAACATAATATTTTTCAATTATTTTAATATAATTTATTTTTTATTATATTATTTTATTTACTTATTTACTTATATTATTACTTTTTTATTTAGGTTTTAATTTAGAATTATATGTGAGATGACTATAAATCTATATCGAATATATTAGAATAGAATAAGCATTTTATTGCGTTTTATATATTTTCATTTTATTTCATTTAACATATATTTATTTAATTTATTATTTACTTTATTAATATTATAACATAATTTTTATTGTATTATTTATATTGATTTATTTTTTATAAGATTCCATTTTATTTATATTTCTTAAATAAATTAATTTTTTTTATATATTAATATATCTTAATTTTTTTTTTATTTTTTTTTTGTTTTATAATAAACTCATTTAATACTTTACATATTCGACATTTTTAATTTTAATTTAAGATTTAAAAATTTTTAATTTTTTTATTATATGTGATTTTATAATTTGTTTTATTTATTTATTTTTTCTTTTTTGGATAACCAATCCCTGAAATAAATAATAATGACCCGATAAATATGAATCCCCATAATCGTGGTAAAAACAAATTAATATCTGATATATTCAGTATACATACTTTATAATAAAAAAATATTTCAACTGTATAATATACATTTCTATTCCAATACGTATGTCTATGTATCATATTCATTTTTCCTACAGATGTACATGATTTTCTGATTTTCTGTTTTGATGAGCAACACGCAAACTGTACATTAAATCTTGATCTATAAAACGAAACAAAAACTAACATAAGATACGAAGAACTGAAAAGATATTATTTAAAAAAAAATTTTTTAACACAAAAAAATGGCATAAAGTCTAAAAATTAATTATTTCTATACACGAAATGATTCGACATTTTATTTTATATCTTTTGCTGTATCAAGTCTGAGTCAGTTGTAAAAATTGATAAAATCAGAAAAACGTATAACAAAGTCATTATTTCAGACAACCAAACTTGACATGTATGATTATCTACAAATAAATTAGAAACATAAAAATACTATAATAAAAACAACTGCTATTGTGTGAAATAAATTCTGAATTTTTAAATTAACAAAAAACCTAGGAAGTTTTTATTCCTCAAAGTCATTCTGTTAATTATACAATAATCATTTACAAACTATATATAATATATTGTTATCTCTTAAATTCATTTTGTAATTTATTATTTTTAATTTATAAATTCTTAGAATATTGAAAATTTCCATAAAATCTTTATAGAAAAAATAAAAATATAATTTAAATTGGAAATCGTAATATAATTGGTTATCTGTATAGAGATATATGTAAAAATATTATTATAAATTGTAAATTTTTTTAGAAAATATCAATGTTTTTATTATTTTATAAATAAATGGAATGTAATTTTTTTGAAATTTATTTATATGCAATTAATGTATATAATATTTATTATTCTTTTGATATAATATACAGTTAAAATGAAAAATCGAACTCTAAGTAAAAACCATATAATTTTTAGTATTTGACAGCAAATAGCAATAACTGCTTAGATTAATATGATAGTCTTATAGGCTTAATAGTCTTAACTAACATTATTCCAATTAATTAATTATTTCTACTTTTACTAAAACTATGGTAAAAA